TACTACGTTCTTCAATCAAAAATTTATTTTTTATTCTCCCGTCTGTAAAATTACACACCGATTTAGCGTGAGTCCCTTCGGACATTTCCGGGATTTTACCGCACGGGTTTGGGAGCGATCAGATGTTTTCGGAGATATTTCCCACGCCTTGAATTGTCAATTGTCAATTGTCAATTCTTACATCATGTCAGTGAATGTATTCGTGTTGTTTTGCGAAAATGTACAAACAAACTAACGGCCGTAGAAATAGTATATTATGCAACAAGTGCTGTAAACGGCATTTGACTCACGAGTTTATTTGACACGAGCGGAGCGAGTTTTTAATAAACGAGTGAGTTAAAAAGTTTACCGAGCGTGTTGCATACTATACTTTTTCTACGACCGTTAGTTTTTCGGTACATTTTCGCAAAACAACACAAATACATTCATTGACATGACCGTCAGAATTGACAAACGTCAAAATCCAAAGCGTGGGGAATATCTCCGAAAACATCCGATTGCACCTAAACCTGTGCGGTAAAATCCCGGAAATGTCCGAAGTGGCTCCGATTCGTGGGAAACGAAACTGACGTGGTAAAGTGACGCTTCCCGTACGCTAGATCGGTGGGTAATTAGGTATTTTACAGACGGGAGTAGAAAAAACTATATTAAGCAATACATTCGGTAAACTTTTTAAGTCACTCGTTTATTAAACACTCGCTGCGTTCGTGTCAAATAAACTCGTGGGTAAAATTAACAAAAATGAACAAATTGTCTTTATAAATATTATTTGTCCCAGAAGAAAATCTGCAATCGAAAATACATTTTACTGCTTCAGAATTCAGAAATTATTCACAATTTGTGTTAAGATGTTTCACAAAATGTGTTCATTTTGTATTGAGTTTTTACAATACCGCGTATACTCGGTTGAAAATTTTTGAAAAAAATAACATTTGCTATTAATCGGTTTAGCTTTTTTGATTAAATTTTAAGCTTTTCAAGTATCGTAAAGAAATATTTTATTATCTTATTTATTTATTACGAATTAATTATAGCCGAAATGTTTTGAGGTAGGTTATAGGGGACATGATTTCGATGGTACTATAATTTCTGCTTCGTTCAAATTGTTGTTATGTTTACTCGCCTTTTTGAGACTCCCAGTATAAGCCTTATCCTTAAATTGTAAACTAGGTATTCTTCCATGGTTCAGTTAAAGGCATGCCCAGCCAAACCTGTAATAACAGCTAACTGACAATATTTATAAATAAATAATCAAAAACCGATTAAAACATGACATTTTTTTCCAATTCTAAATAGGGGAATAACCGTGCACATTTATTAAAAATCCAAAGTACCTCCATATTATCCGCGTGATGTGCAAAATCTGTTTTTAATTACCTAGTTATTTTTAAGCTCAATGACGAGCAAAATAAGCGAAAAATTGCATCAAATTAGATTTCTCGGTAACATCATCGCGTCACTGTATCTAGTGGCGAATGTGTATTTAGACCTCAAAGCTTCTCAATTAATTGAAAATTGTCGGAAATAAATCAAAGGATGGCGCCGATAATTGAAATACCGAGTCGCGGGCGTTTTAAAAATACCCATCTCCATCCAGGAATATAAATTTAATGCCGGGAGTGTCGAGATTATGTTATTTTAAAACTTCTCGATGACAAGAGGTATTTTGTACGGCCGGTTGGTTGGATATTAATACTTTTTTATTTTAATTTTGACTCCTGGCAATAATGTGAATGTAACTGTCTAACTGTTAAAAAAAGGCTGTAGGTAAAATGAACTGGGGCAGTGATCTGTCTAAGGACCGAAAGCAATCTTCTTTTTGATATTAAATTAAATTTATACGTAGGTGACTTTATTCTCTGCATAGGGTATATTCAAGTTGAAGAAGCCATTTTAAACTGTCCTCTCAAAAATGGAGTCAACATAACCGTAACCCTAACCAAATAATCTATCACCATATATAACCTTATATTGTTTTCAGTACTATAATGTAACTACCGCCGAATTAACCTAGAGCAGAAGTCTCCAATTACTAGACTACAAAGAGTGTTTAATATCCACAGTCATTTCCTAGATATTCATGTTTTTGCTATGTTATATATTTAAAAAATCTTAATTTGGTTGTAGTACACCAGTGGTGCGTTTGAGTTTGCTTTCTTTTGAAATTATTTATATCGTCGAACAATTCAACAATTCAATATAATCAAATGGCAGCATATTCCCAGTAAGCAGTGTTGAACCAATTCATTTTTCAGCTTGAATCCGAAGTAATTGCCAAGTTAAAACAATATTTTCTAAACCAAAGTGAAAACGAACGAACCATTACACAGTTTATTTAAATATTGCTTGATAACTTGAGTAAAGCAGTGTAAACTAAATTTGTGACAATTAAAAATAACATTCCAACAGTTGTAAGTATGATCATTGGAACGACGTATTATAAGTTGAGTTCGATATAGGCAACGGAAATCTGCCATTTATTTATAAGTTGATTTTTTTTTCCTTTACGTTTAAATTGTAGCTTCGGTAAATAACTTTCGAGGTCTCGTTCATTTTCATTAATTTAAGGTTTTTGAAATTTCTTCAGAAATTTTAATCACTTTTGGAGTTTTAACTTTTTAATTGATACCTACTTTCAGCGTTGACTTCCTGCTACATACCCTCAAGAATTCGGAAATTTTTCGAAATTTAGTAAGAAGCATCATAATAATAATTAACAACTAACGATATACACAAACAACACTTAGCAAATAAAAAACCGGATAACCTTTATTTATAATCTTTGCCCGCTGACTTTTATTTAAGATTAAGAGGAAAATGACTCACTGGTGGTTAAACAACATTAATATTCTGTCCAATTTCCATTTCTAATCCAAATGGGAGAATTAAATAAATTAAGAATATCTTTTTGAACACGGGATTTATTATTCATTAAAAACGTAATTTGAGATATACACGTCATAGATGTATCAGTTAGCCACTTAGAGGTTTCGGAATATCGATTTCGGGAAATAAGTAAACAAAATATGGAAGATACTCTCCCACCTTTATAATGCATGTAATAATCACAGCAGTACTATTTTTATTCAAGCGATAGTTAAAATAAAAAAATCTTAAAAACAAACAACCGGGTATCTACATATAAGTGCCTTAATAATTTTGTGCACAATAAGTTTAATGATATTTTTAGCAACTGACCGAGTTAATGCTAATTTCGTTTTTACTTTCCTTGTAAATCGTTTTAACGATAATGTTATTCAAGCTCCGGTTTGGCGACGACAATAAAACAAGCCAGCTTATGTGTTCGTATTGTTTTATTTATTTTTCTGAAGCTTAACGCTTGTATGTAGGTACCATAAAATTTTCACAAACGTAATATAATTTCACAGCTGACTCTCAAAAAATTAATTACTACATAATTAATAGATTAAAACATTTACAAAAATGTTAAATATGACAGTAGTTTCATAGCGGAGTCGAGAAAAATGTTTAACAATTTGTTCGTTGTTTGTCGCAAGTGCTGCAAATTAAAAAGTTCTCTTGGAAAGTATCATGAGAGTTTAGGAGAAAACAGCTAATTAGGACGAAACCCACGATAAGATCTAGGCGGAATTAGGTTCACGGCAAAAGTCGGAGTCCCGCAGAGCGTGGATTTAAGAGTCCCCCGAGCCAATTCTCCCATCAACGGACCGTGAGATTCAGGCATTATCAACGAACAAAGCAAAATACACTAAAGTTTTCTAATACACGACCAAATAACAAATTTTTCCTCGTATACTTTATTCTCTAATTTCAAAAAAACTATAATTATAAAATAAAAAAGAAAAAAAGTTCATATAAACTCTCGTCTACATAGATGGTCCGATATTTTAGCAATATTTTTACGTTGATTGTGTCATCATTTTATTTAGTATTAATTTTTTACAACCAAGTTTATTGCGTATTAAAGGGATTATAAAAATAGGTTTTAACAATTTTCATTACTATTATTTTTTCGAATGAAAACGAGGCAACATGCGAAAACAACTCAAGAGTAAAACAAGTTTTATCTTAGTGACTTATTCAAAATAAACAACGAAATTTGCAAAAAGGTCAGTGACGAAACTATTCGTTAAGATCTCTTCGTTTTAATCTAGTGGGAGCAAAATTTGACCTTTTAACACTATAATGTGTGTTGGCTTAACATGTAACACCTACCATCTTGAATTTTCGGATCTACATTCATACGAACTTTTTTCCTTTTTTTTTTTGAATGTCCAGCCGAGAGTTGGCGCATGTTTTATGAAGCAACCTGTATACTGTTCCATACTGTTAATACTTAATCCTGATTTAGAGTCTGACTTGTTTGATGTTTTGAATTTCTTTGGATTTATAGGAATGTCCATAAATATCTATACCTAGTTCTCTGGTAAAAGGTATTCGAAAAGCTTTGATTCTATTAACCTCGTTGAATGTACTCCTCAACCTAAAGCGAGACCTCAACCGAGACCTTCTTTTTATCGAGCAACGTGTCTTCCCAAACATTCTGATATCGTAGATGGAAATTACTTTACCGACTAACCGAATTTATCAAAACTAAAAAGTTCTGCCGGAAAGTGTTATAACAAATTAGAAGCAAATATCGTAACATTTTACAGGGACATAGAGGCTGTTACATTTCTGTTTCTTTCTTCATATTCGCCACTGAGATAGAAACGGAGCGAAACAAAACAGACGCGCGGCTGCGTTCCTTTAACCGCAAAGAAGACAAACAAAAAAAGTGGAACAAAAACAAAGGTACACATTTGAGAATGTGGGTCTCTAGTTTATCTCCGTAGCCCCGTGATTCGTGCAATAGATAATGCAAACAACAAATAATAATAACTATGACTACATTCGACGTAGATAAAAACGAAAACGCTTATCAGTTTTTTGCGCGGCATTGATATTGGTGTTGCTGAACGTAAAGCGGCGATTTACTGAACCAAATCCTTAATGCTCGTAGACGTTTACGTACTTACACTTAATTACGACCAGAGGGTACTCCGAAAATGCGAGGGTAATCCTACAAGTATCAACCATTAAACACTCATAACACAATAACGAAAGCCGCAACTATGCACACAATACGGAACAATAGACTACCAGTTAAAACCCCGACCGAAAGTGAAATTTCTGTATTGCAATTTCCGAATGTGTGGAGGCGCGCCAGTCAAGACATTTGCCATGTGACAAGTACCGAGAAAAAAAACTCGATTCGCTCGCTCCACCACGGCTGTGTGAGTTGTGCGGGGATATATTATTATTAATCGCAGTATCACTTTGACAACCGATACGGTTTGAAGTTTATCGATATCGAGACGCGCTCGTTTGATATTTAAAGCCGGCGGGTTACAGACGATTAAGTAACGGCACGCAGTCAATACGGAAAGTGTATTTGTTGCGCGGCGATCACCGCTCGCGATCGCAGGAAGCCGCGTCTAAAGTGCCGAATGTCATTGAAAATAGTCCGTGGGAATCTCTCTCTCTAGAATTAGCATACAAAAAGTAAATAAACGTATACTTTGGGTTAAGTCTTTGTCTGGTGCGCCGTTTCCCCCGGTCGACACGGCGACGACGTCGCGTTTTAAAATATAATTTGCAGGGTTGGACTTGCGGTGTCCCAGATTAATTTATAAAAACGTTTGTCGTCGGCAGCTGAGCAAAAAATGCCATTTAGTAAACTGTTTCAATTTTATTGGATTTGATTTTTCAGTGAAATGATATACAATATTTCCATAAAAATCGCAATTTTCAAACCTATAAGTACAGCAAGCTAGGTAACCAAAATTGTATGACAATATCAAATACTTTCTGACATGAAATGTTTAACTCTGTTTTATTCTGTTTTATTTAAAAAATGGTGGGAAGTGGGTATAGTGATGATATGTATGGGAATATAGTAGATGCTAAAATAATAAAAATAAATAGTTACCTTCATTATTATATTTTTGGTATTAACGATTCTTCAAACAGTTATTCACTATCAGTTGAAGAGTACAGGGGAAAAAGAGTGAGGGTCGAAAAAACTTAATTGAGTAATTATAATTTTCATTTAAGAAGACTAAACAAAAACAGGATTTTGGATTATAATTATTGCTAACTTGAACCAAAATACTTTTTAACAGAATATACAAAAAATATATAAATTGTCAATACAAAAGTATAAAAAACTTGGCAATAAAGATGAAGGTCTATAATCTATTATTGTAATCTTATCAATGTGTTATTGCTTTAAAAAAATCCGGCGCTTTTTGAAAACAGAATATTTTTAGATGCTGTAGGTCTTGAAATTTAGCTTCAGATACAGGCATTGGCCCATAATAAGCTAAAGCTTGAAGCGAAAAATACTTTTCAGGTAGCGAAAGTCTTTTTCTTTTTTGTTTTATGACAACATTTTCAACGTCCATAATAATTTTCCCTATGTATCATCATACGAGTGTGATTGTCGGTTACAGTTAATTCTTTGACCGGTCTTGAAGGAAAAGGACAGTTGGGCATATAGATATCCCCTAGAAATTTGGTCCAACTGTTAAAAATGGACTAATCTTCACAATAAATAACTTTAAAAGGGCTTGGTTTTGTTCGGGAATCCCTTAAACTGCATTGCATTCTCGAGGCAGTTCATCAGTTTCACAAAGTTCGTTGGTTTTTAACAATCTCACCTTATGAGAATACAAAAATGAATGAAAATCAGCTTCATCTTCAGATTTCCTGGGACGATCGTGTGTTACAGGTTTGCACGTGATTAAACCACTAAGATAAAGGGATTGTTCATCATAACTTTGTAGTTGATTAAGCTTTAAGTTTAGAACATTGGCAGTCTTGTCCAGTTTGATGACTACTTAAGCGTAACTTTTAAGTTACATTCTGAATTCGTCCATAGGATTTTCTTTTTCTTGTTTTTTGTTGCTCAGTCAGTATTCAACAACAAGAAATACACCACGAAACTTTAAATACATAATAATCAATAATAACACCAATAAACTTCAACGTAAATAAAAACAAATCGGTTACTAGAGTCTGAACTACATCCTATGGAATGTCATCTTTCTTGCGCACAACCTCTGGTACCTTCATCTTTTTTGCCCACTACTATAAATTTTAACTTCTGTTTATCTTTGTACTGTCATCTTTGTAGCCATTTCTTATAGGTGGATAGTATTCTATAGCCAATACATTATACGAAATAACTGTTAATCTTGGCCAAAAAATGGATCCTCATCTTTTTTCTTCTGTACTCTTCAGTTGGTTAAACCTTTGCTTGAAGATGGTAGACAATGATTCAGTAAAAAGACTAAGAGATTGTCGAACTTCCAAATAAAGACAATTGAAGTTCGACAATCTCTTACCAGTGGATTTAACGTTCTTGTCAGATGAATTTCCATCCCGCCAATGATAGGAAATTACAGTGTACGGTTTTGTTCGATCAGTTTCTTAAATTATTTTCAGTTTTGTCAGGTTTTGCTTTTATAATAAACTAAATTTTATTAATGAACTAATTGACGATGAATTTAAGAAACGATTTAGAATATCTAAACTATTGCTTTAATACATTAATATATTTCAGTTAAGAGGTTGTTAAGTTATATTCCACGTAATTAAAAATATTAAGCAATTTATGAGTTTAAGTTTATAAGAAATCGATTTTTTATGTGGTCTACCACATAGCAAATTAATTTTTTTATAAACCCAGCCCAAAACACAACAATTTCTTAATATCAAAAGAGATGCTACATTTGTGCTTGTTATTAGAAATGTTGCTGTACTATGACCTCAATTCATTGAAATCCCTCCAGATGAATAAAAATGAGAGAGATTAGTGTTAAGTTTTTATTTTTTTATACTTTCCAGAATAATATTTAAATGGAATTTCACTATATCAAATAAATAACAATTTTAAAAGCATAGGTTATTTCTATTAAAAAAAATTGCCTCTAGAACTACGAACTTGTAGTTCTGTTTTCTTGGCAGCATTGGAAAAATCTTTTAAGCAGATTGTGACTATTGAGAACCGTTCCTTCTAACGTAGAATGCCGCGATTAAAAGTTTGTGTTGCAAATACTCTTACTCGCCCATTTCTACAATTTGCCCCAAATGTCAACTAACAAAATAATTTAACGACTAACTCAAAAAGTTCATAAATCAATTTGAATTACTAGAACCAACAGTCATTTTACAGGTTGTCTTCGGCCAGTCTCGCCTACCGCTTCAATTACAGATTGCGGACCGTAATTGAACCGAAAGACGTTGATTTTAATTTTTGGCAGTGAAAAATTTGACGATCTACTTTTCACATTACTGTAAGTTTGTTTATTAGCCTAAGGGGATGAGGAAATAAATACAGTCCGACGTTGTGGCAAATTAAACAAAACTATATTTTCTCTTATTTACACTGCACCTCATACAACAACTACACTTGGTATATTGACAATAATTTTAAGTCTTTTTAAAGAAAAAGAGTAAGCGGCACACCTTTCCGCGTTGCCCACATCTTTTGCGTCTTTTTCGTCTACCGTGTAACACCTAATAGCCGCGGTCAAGCGTCGTGACCTACTTTTAACCTTTCATCGGTACGCATCAAAAACTAGTCCTGAACTTCGCACCACCGCAAGGCGGTCTCGCGTGCGTTTAAAGAAATAATATAAATATAGCCTTCTATAATTGCATGTGCTGACGAAAACTAAACTAAAAGACATATCCTTTAGTTACTATTCATTCTGGTAATATTTTCAGGGCAATAACATCAACAAAACTTTTTGTTGAATTGCAAAATGCAGTTTTCGCCAAATTTAATTATTCAACCCTGATAGATACATGTATTCAAGTTCACTATAATGTTAATTTAACAACAATGCCATTATGTTATTTTAATGGTTCAAAAGTTCTTCGCCATCGCTTAATAAAAGTAGATCTTTTGTTTTGCTTACATTCATTTTCGGTTGAAGGAAACATGGCGTCTATGAATGTATACAAACTTAAAGAAAAGATGAAAATTTATTGTTCTACAAAAGTAATATAGTTGGCAAGGTTGCCATTTCTAAAATAGTATAGTATAGAGATTATCACATAACGTTCCAATTGGAAGTTCTTCAGAACTTGTAGTAATAGGACACGCAATGTAAATCGCCCTGCATACAGTGTTGTTTGAGAATTGAAAGTCCATTATCCCCATTTAGAGCAATATTAGATATTTTGACCTTTCCTGTACACTGTAGAGAAATTACGAACTAATCGTTGGACATACTGAATGTAATTTTTTAACATTTTGTAGTATGCGTGACTTGTATAGAGAAGAGAAGAAAATTAATTTTTCTAAAAAAATAATTAATTCTTATACAAGTATATAGTTGATTGACTTTTCATTCAAATTTTAAGTAGGATTCAAAAGATTGCCAAGTTGGCCATTTTTAAAATGGAGATTATCACATACTGTGAAAAAGCAGTCATTTTCCAAATGTTCCCAATGTAAATTCTGCAGAACTAGCAGAATTTACATTGCATTTACACGCAACTTAAATCGCCGTGTATACAGCCTTGTTTCAAAATTGAAACCTAGGATATGTATCTGCAGAAGCTCTTTGGAGAAGACAATATCTCTATTTAGAGTAGCTAATATTAGATATTTTGACCTATCCTGTACGTTATCGAGTAATTAGGAACTAATCGCTGGACATACTAAATGTAATTTTTTAATATTTTGACATATCTTCTAACTTTTCTAAACCCACATTACATCACTATCATCTAAAGACCACTCGTTTCGCGGAGATGAATACTCAACGTGCTTATCGTGCTTTGCGCATTGTCTATTAAACTATAAAACGTGCAATAGAATATCCCCCGTAGAAGCGCAAAAATTTCCATTCTGATAACAACCCCATACCTACTTTTAATTTAATAATCTTCAAAATGAGTATCGAGTGGAATCACATATTCGTAAACGCGATCACAAACCAAAACTAACCGATAGCACGTGATATTTGAAAAACGGCGTTCCTACGAGCACGCTATGACGACGGTGAATCACGGCTGATGCGGCCTGAATTTACAAAATTCACCGCCACGCTCGCCTGTCGCGATGCTTTCCTATTACAACTGCCCTCAGACACGCAAAGTGATCGATTTTCAAGGGAAACTTGAACCCCACGCTGCCGATTTGATAATAATCCAGATTTTT